AAAAAAAGATTGTTCTTTAAATGCCATTATTTTGTGATCTTTTAGTATTAGTGATGGAGAACAAAACACAATTTTAGAGATACTTTAATTTGTAGAATTCACAACATTTTCTCCTCCAGTTTAAGATACATTTCTAACACATTCACATCATTTGTATGATGGATTTTATCTTTTAAGTACTTGTAAGAAAAAAAAAGATAATAAGAGTATGAAGATAATGGTGCTTGACATTCCAAAGAAGTGAAAATATTCATTTATTTGGTGATTGCTCTTTTCACATAAATATTTTAAATTTCTTACTTTTATGGTTTTATGATTTTGCTGTTTTTACATTATTTCTGAAAAAAATAAAGATTGCTATTGAGTTAGTTCTAATTTATAGTGCCTCTATAGGACAGAGTAGAACTGTCCCATCTAATTTCTGTGTTAGAGCCAGCTGACTAGAGAAACAAATCCAGTTACATTCATGTATGTATAAGAAAAAACTTTATATTAAAGAGTAATTGTATATTAAGAAAACATCCCAGCCAAGTGCAGATCAAATCCATAAGTCCTATATTAACCCTTAAGTCTGATACTAGTCCATAATTCCCTCTTGAGACTCACTGAGAGCATGCAATGTTGCAAACTGCAGAAAGATTACAGGCCAGTGGGTGCAAAATCTTGTGGATCCAGTGGCAGTGGAAACATCTCCAGGGCTCTCATAGGTTTCAGCGTGTCTCCACATGGCTTGTCAACAAGAAGGAGAGCGTGGCCCACCTCCACGGAGAAAGAAAAAGAGCCCAGCCCGGAGAGTCATTTATTTCCTTTGCTCCCCAATCAAACTGCAGCCTATTTGACAGGATAAATTCTGCCCACATGTTCCTATGGGAGTCATGTTGGACCAAAAAAACCCCCTAATTATTACAACTCATCCCTTCACTCTTAGACATTCAAGTTGACATGAGATTATGTAATTACCACAGTTCCAAGACTGAAATCTTTGGATCACAGTGCCGCATCTTTTTTCTAATGAGTGGTTAGTGGTTTCTAATGGCTGACTTCCTGGTTAGCATCCAACCACTTTAATCACTGAACCACCAGGGCTGCTCATCTTTATTCTAAGCCACTTGATGTTCTCTTTATAATTGAAATTGTAATGGAAAAAGTGCAATACAATATTCTCTTCCAAACTATAGTTGTGAGTGAATATAATTGCCATCTAACAGAATTGTTCATAATTTGAATGGATAAGTTGATCTCT